CTTAACAAAGTGAGCTATGACGGCTAATGTGAGCTAATGGACGAGATACCTCGCGCACACCCATGACACGCAACGTGGATTACGACGTAGCGGCTAATTCAAATACGCGCGGGTTAGTGGAGCAGCAAGCAAGTTCAGACAACTCGTCCAGACACGCCCCTCCCCATTTCTACGGGAGTGTGAGACCTTGTTTGACCGCGGCAGATGTTTGCTTTGATTTTTTATTCATTTTCAGTCAGATCGGCACATGATTTCATTATCAACCGCTCTTATCCCACGATCCTACTAGGAGTTATTGTTCAAATGGCAGGGACTGCAGTGACAGGAAACGGGTCTATCGTCTGCTATTAACTCACCGGAAAAGCAGAAGTGTCGTATTTTGAGGTTTTGAAGGGGTTACGATGGTCAAACTCCTACCCACTTATACTCGACGTCACTTTTGGATGGGATTAGAGGGCCGAGTTGGATTGTTTCTAGTGACAGTAGCTTCAATGAGACTGTCGACACGAATTTTCGAAGGTTGAGGAAGAGGGAATGGGAGGCCGTCCCGATTCCAGAACTGAGAATACTTCACGATTAACCCCAGTTGAAAGACGGGATCGGTTTGGAAACGCTATTGTGGTAAGGTGTTGGGAGGCGGTTTGATCACATCGTTCTTGTGGTATCAGTTCTTCTCTCAGACCGGCTCACTGCAGATTAGGACACCTCTATTTGCTCGTAGCAGACTGAACCTAGGCCTAAGCCTAATCTTAGGCTCGAGCATAAGTCATTGTGTACTCATGAGCCGAAAGTTAAGCTTAGGCTAACTTAGGCTTCAGCCATGACGGAGCTTTGGTGACTTGAACTAGGAAGAGAACTCTACTTCCCTCACATCATTCAGCACCACCAGTGGGTGTGTTCAGGCTGCTTCTAACGCCTTCTACCAGTGACGTCTTGACGTTCCTCCTGGCCATTGCAACCACAACCTTCTAACTGTTGTCGCCATCTTTTGCTTATAGCGCCGTAGCTCAAGTCGAGGCGGCGTGCTTCATGCTCGAACCCTTGCCACTCCCACCAAAATGCGCACAAAGCTATTGGCCACATCCACATCTTGGTGGATGAGTTATCTTACCGTATATAAGACTCCACATATGACAATCCCGTTGGCGATTTGGGAATGATTGATGAGCGTCAGATTGTGAGTCTCGTAGATTGTCAAGTTATTGATGTCAACCTGAAATCGAAAACACCTTTTTTTGGAACAGTGAAAATTCTTTGCTCCTTGAAAAACAGCACCAAGTGAAAGGTCAGTAAGTCTTGAAAGGCAAAGCCCGAGATTCTGGGGTACGCGACAGGAGGCCCGTCGCGCGGCAAGAAGGTAGAGTTCGCGGAGTCGCAGCGCGTGATGTGCGATGTAGGACGTACAATGACATTAATTTGACGCGAAATCACTACAGTACGCGCTGCAATTCATCCACTGACTCTGCCTTGTTGTCGCGCGACGGGCCTCCTGTCGGGTACCCGAGATTCTGATTGGAATGAAGCTCTTTTGCGAGCTATATGGAGCGGTAGACGCAAAGCATGCACAAATGCAAGATATATAAAGTAAGGATATTCAAATGATGGAAAAATCTAGAAAAATGGAAGAAAAAGAATGTAAGTGAAACGAAGCCTCACCTTGGCTACACTGAGAAACTTTTCTTTTTCATAGTGGTACAGAATCCAAAGTGCATTCTCGTCGATGGCCAGATCAAAATAGTTCATTGATTTATTGAATAGGTACTAAACAATATTATCTCACTCCTCATAGAACGACAGATCAATAAATCAATATCCAAGAAGGAACTAACATTGTTACCCTGGTGTGCAGCACCAGGGATTTCGATCTCATCGTATCGTCCTGTAGTCAGCTCAAACTTTCCAATCCGGGGAAACCCGGCTCTGTGGAAGAACAATGAACCATTGAAGAGCATATGATTTGTGCCATCGTACACATGTGGGAAGACGGTATCTGAGAAACAGTCACTGAATCTATTGTGGCGACTGATTGAGCACAAAAATGTGATACTCTGAGATGCATATGCCTAGTGATTAAACGCTTGAAATGTTGAGGTATACGCCGCGTGCTTTCCTAGTATTCGTGACTGGTAACAAGATTGAATGGTTATTTGATCCCTGCGATGATGGCGACCCCCAGCCTTAAAGGCAAAATTCGGGCTCAATAA